ATCTCGAATTTAAATTTTATAAATAAAGAAATAAAGCATGTCCATTCGCCCAAAAAGTCCATATCAATCAATACCTATTTTCAAAATCTATACCTAATAATTTTGGACGGTACAATCAATACCAAATATTAAATTTTATCCAGCGAAGGCCTTCAAGACAACTAAAATAAGCGTCCCGCACTTGTGTTGTGGTCTATCGTTCACTCCTTTCGAAACGTGCGTAGAATTGTCAGTTCTTTCGAAACGTGCGTAGAATTAGTAAATTTGAGATCAAATTTTAGGTCTCTTTCTTCCTTCCTTGAAAATGTTTCATACTGTTTGAAAAAAAAAAAAAGACAACTAAAATAAACGTCCCGCACTTGTGGTCTATCGGTCACTGCTTTCGAAACGTGCGTAGAATTAATGAATTTGAGATCAAATTTTAGGTCTCTTTCTTCCTTCCTTGAAAATGTTTCATACTGTTTGAAAAAAAAAAAAAAGACAACTAAAATAAACATTATAAAAGACTGCAGTTCTGATATTTGGTTGTCTATTTGGTCCTAAGTATTACTATCTACGTTGACCAATAATAATATTATTTAACTTTTAATTTCGCACCTACAGCTGTGGCGGGAAATGGTAGGGTTCATCTTGACCATGAGTATCACTATGGTTTATATCTTTGTCATATTATCATTTTTCTTTGAATTTTTTCATGCTAAAAAAAGCAACTTTTAATTTTAAATGTATAGATTAAAAATATATTAATTATATATTTTATAATTAATTTATAAAAATAAAAATTAATTTTAAATTTATTAATTATTTAATTAAAATAATTAATGTGACATTAATATTAGAAATAATATTTATTTTTACAATTTTTATAAGAATTTATTATAAAAATGTAATTATTGTACTTTTTAGGATATATGTTGAAAAAAATTTCATTTTAAAATGTGAGACTAAATATTAGTATAAGAGTTTTTCTTTTTTTAAACATTTTATCATAAAACCAATTTAAACCATTACCATGAAAAAAAAAAATATAAACCTTATAAAAGTAATAAAAACCATTTGTACATAGGTCCAGGTTCTAGTGTAAGAGTTTCTTAAGTTTACACCATTGTAAATTGATATCGACCCATTAACTAATCATCAACTAAAAATGTAAAAGAGCAATTAAATGAATGTCAGATTTGTACTTACACACACTTTATTGTTCATTTGTTCTCAACCACAAAACCTAGGCTTCATGCAATGATGTGCTGGATGATATTTTCCTTTGAAATTTGAGATTTTATATTATTAAATTAGTTTAACTTGTCTTTATATTTTTTTTAAGACGTTAAATACTCTTATATTTATCATGAAATATATATATAAATATTTTTAATTGTAAACTAATTTAGATATCTAACACTACAATTAACTTAATTAATCTATTTAATATGAAATTTTATGATTTTAATGTTTTTAAAGCTTATTGTTTCATGTAAGATTACTATATATTATTGTTTTAATGCTTTTTAATGAATGATCAATTAAAATTGATTTGGTTGGAGGGTATAAATGAAATCGAGAAAAGATTTTATATAATAATTTTTAATAATATTTACTATTAATTGAACAAACACTAAAGAAACCAATGTAATTTGTATAGTATTAACGATCACTTGAAAATTTTATGTAAGTTAAAGGAGTTTTAGCTAAGGATATATTTAGTATAAGTTAAGAAAGTATGTTAGTATAAGTTGAGAAAGAATATCGAAAAAGTTAAGAAATCTCATTATAATAAAAATTATTATTGTAGATACCTTAAAAACAACTTGAGTTCTATATTAGCATATTAGTAACCTATGGTGAAGTGAGATGTCTTAGAACTTTAAATATACTTGGTATTGCTTTAAGTAAATTTATTGTTTTAATAATTTAGTTAGTTAGTTAACTCAAATATTTTTATTTCAATTGTTTAAATAAAATTAAAGTTAATTAAGTTTGGTACTTAATTAGCCTAAAATCTTTATAGCACGATGCTTAACTCTCTAGAGTGAAATGAGCCCATCACTCACATCATTCGGCTGGCGTGTTGTAGTTTTCAGTCGCCAAAAAACAATCGATCTACATCCCAAAAATACTACAGATCGCTGGGATGTATACTCGATTGTGATGGCGATGAAACTTATGGTTGCATATTCGTCCATAGCTCAAATCGGATATGTAATTATTGGAATAATTGTTGGAGACTCAAATGGTGAAAGGAATGACTAAATTAGGATCTCACTCTTATCTTATTCTACTTACATGTTATATGATTCGAATTCAAAATTTTTTATTTTAATCACAACAATTTATTTCTAAAATGTTTATTCTCTTAATTTTTTAACCAAAGACTAACAACTACCAATATCTTAAGAATATATGTTTACTATTTCTCAAAAAAAGAACATACGTTTACGAATTGTTGAAACGGGCTTTTAATGGCTAGTGTTTATATGGAGTTGACCAAGTGGGCTTGGTTGATTGGTTGCAGGCTGATTGGGCCAAGTAAGTGGCCTTTTGGGTTTTAATGTGGATTAAGTTGAATTTTTAAAGGGGCACTGGGCTTTTAAATGAATGAAAGGGTTATGAGCCGTAGCAAATGGGTCCACATCTGGGCAGTATCACTGAGTTTTTAAAATTATTATAAAATGTATATGATTATGAATTTTTTAATATTTTTATAAAAAATTATAATATTATTTAATAATTATTTAATTTATTTATATATTAATATAATTATAAAATTATATAAAATATTAATTAAAATTAATTTAATCAACATAACAGCAGAATAGGATGTACACAGTACAAGAAAAGATAACGTGAAAGATGGTACTTTCTCCAAGTCCCTCTTTTCTAGCTACCTCCCTCACGGTATATCTATATATCCGGCCGTCAAGTTTGTTTGGTTTAACTTGTGGAAGTTTTTATTTTTTGAGTATTATTATAAATAATAAATTTAAATTTTTATTGAAAAAAAATTTAAAAGTTGTTTTTAAAAATAAGAAAAAGTGAGTGAAAAGTCAGTAAAAAAAGAGTTTATGAAAAATTTAGATTTGAAACTTTTAAATTTTTACTGTTTGAGATCTTTTTAAGGTTAAAAAAAATTTTAAAATGTAAATTTTTAAGAGAAAATTTTAAACTTATAAAACATGAATAATATCAAAAAGTTGAAGCTCCTAGGAACTCTACCAAATAGGCCCTAAGAGCATATTTGGTGGAATTTCTTTGAGTTTTTACTTTTTTTAGTATTATTTATAAGTTATAAATTTAAATTTTTATTAGAGGAAAACTTTAAAAATTACTTTTAAAAATAATAAGATGTGAATAAGAAGTGAGTAAAAAAAAAGTTCATAAAAAACTCAACTTTAAAGTTTTTCAAATTTTACTATTTAAAATGTTTTTAAAATTAAAAAAAATAAAAAATAAAAGATTTTAAAATAAAAATTTAAACTTATAAAATATAAATAATATAAAAAAACTGAAACACATATAAGTTTCACCAAACATGCTCATTCAACACACTTAGCAGCAGTATTTTCATATTCTGCAGATTGAAAGAAACAAGGAAAAGGGTCCAAATTTTACAGACCTGGGGAGGGGAGCATTTATACGGGAAGAAGGGAGCTCCTCCCAAAGTCTCATCCTCAATTCTGTGGGCAGAAGCATAGATCAATGGCGTCAACCCAAGAGATATGATGTCTAGACATTTGGTTTCAGCCTGTCGTCGTTTTGGCATCTTTTGAAGTCTGCAAATGCTCGAGCAAAAATTTGTGGATTATTTAGTCATCATGGATAATCTTGGTCATTCAATATTTGATTGATTTTAGATGATCTAGGAAATTTTGCCGCCCCTCTTTTTACCACGTTTAAAGCAATACGATTCTTCATTGTCATCCTCCACGTTGGGTTTGATTTTTGTAAATTTTATCAGTTTCTTTTTGTAATTTGTATTCATTTACACAATGAAATTCAAATGCGAGATGGTTCCGTTGTGATTGTTGTCTCCAGTGATGATACGTTAATATTTACAGAATTTCGATTCCCACATTATCAAGAATTTCTAATTAATAAAGAACTTAGGATCGCTGTTTGGTTGTATGCACTCTTCTTGTTATCTAACTACTATTCTGTGATGTTACAGAATAATAGACCTTTTTAGTTTTAAAGTTTGTTTGAGAATAATAGTTGTTTTTTTAGGTAAATATTTTGTTATTATTTTATAATTATCTTTTAACTTCAATTATTTATAATTTGATGAAATGTTTTCTTTATTTTTTTATTTTTTTTAAAAATAAAATAGATAAAAATGAAAATTGTCCTTAAACTTTTAATATGTCTTTAAATTTTTAATTTAAAGATAAATATAAAAAATATTTATTATTTTGAGCTGGAAGTTGTACATTTCTATATTTATGGTAAATAATTTTTTTTTTTTTTTTAAAAGAAGAGCCTGTTTTTCTCGGAGACTAAACGAGCTATGTAGACCCATGTAAGATCGCCACCGCTCCCTCTTCCAGGAGATGAGGTGCTGAGGTACATTTTGATTCAGACAAAAGAGTAGTTACAAGTTATGTTACGATCAAGGAAAACAAATAGGAGAAAAGATAAGGAAAGCTAATGAAGAAAGAAAAGCCTTCGATAAATGTTCCTCAATGAAGGGTTGATGGGAGAATTACATAGGATTGAAAGGATAGTACGGATAAACAAGAACAAGGAAACACAAATTCTCAACAAATCCAGAAGATCATGAGGCAGTAGCTAAATACAAGCCCTAGCCTCAAAACCACAACAAATAAAACGATAAGGAATAAATGATAAAAATTAAAAAAAGCTAATCCCATGTTGCTTCCAATTCATCAAGTAATTGCTACATGTACCAACATAACTTTAGCCAAATTGATATCTGTTAATTTAAAAATTTTAATTTAAAGTCAAGGTTAAGGATTCAAACTTTTGTAATATCAAACAAGTAACTTTCAAATTTAATGTACCAAAATTAAAAAAGGAAAAAGAAAAAGAAAAAGAAAAAAGAATAATTGTTGCATGTCTCATGCAGGCCACCTGTCTCATGCCTATGCCCTTATCTTTCTGCATATGACAGACACCCATGATGATTCTATAATGGTAATGCAGATTGACCACTTATAACTGAGTCTATTGAGACCTAGTCACCACTTTTAACCGAGCTACATTTAATGGGAGCATTTCAGAGCAAGTACAAGGGCATGAAGTGTTCAGATCTTACCATTCTAGCACCTGTTTTGTTAGGGGAAGGGGAGGGGGCCAATGAGGATGAATGTCAAGGAAATGGAAATGCCAGATCTTAATGAAGATACCATTAAGGACCTACATGTTACATGTGCTATTGCATACCAAGAAAAAGGAAATCATACATGCAGCATTACCAGAAGGAAATCATGCTTGGTATGAATTTTACCAAATCACACTGCACTAACAAGTAACAACAATCACAGTGACAAGAAAACTTTCAAGAAATCCTCCAGCGAAAAGCTTTCTCCATGTAATTTCTAAGAACTGGTACAACAAAATTGAAGAATGGAAGTTGAATGAAAAGTAAAGAATTCAACATTCAGCAACTAACAGATGGCAAATCTAGGAATCTAAAATGTATCCACAGCATAAATTAATGTTACATTTTTTGCGATCTAGTACAGTTGACTTATTTCTTAAGGTCTCCAACGTAGAAGTCATCAATCATGTCGAAGACACGGGTAGCATGCTGTGGCCTGCCACAGAAAATAAAATATAAACATAAATAAGATCTACCACTTTCAATATATATAGAGAATCCAAAAATACTCATCTGTGCTTTTAGGCAATTCATTAGGAAAAATCATGAAAGATACTAAACACCCTAAACTTTCCGTTGATGCTATTCAATAGAAAATGAAAAGTGAATAACAAATATGATCTCTAGGATTGACTCACAAACATGTTTTTGGAGCAAAGATATGATGAATCAACAAATTATCACAATAACACATTAGAGATTTGGTTCATGTCATGATTCTTATTTATAAATAGTCTGATTCTCAGATCAAGTCCAAATAAAATGAAGAATCAAATAATGAGATAACCAGGACGCAGCCTAAGCAACTTAAAAAATTTATCAATTGGTTATAAGATGATGAGATAAGAAAATGGTGGTGTTTTAACAATTATCCCAGAGCAGACCAATGCCCGTTGGCCTGATTGCAATCTCAGGTCCTAAATTAAAAACCATAGCATCAGATTGGAGTGGGAAAGGCATTGGCAGAGTATTTTACCCTGGGACCCTGACTTAACCCACCAATCAGGAAAAAGAAAGAACAAATGTTGATAGGAACATTGACAAAAAACTAAACTTCAAAAGTTAATTTTCTGATTACTGCCAACTAAGTAACAGATATGTACCCATAAAACCCTTCTGTTGAATCATCTCCAGCATGTGTCAAAATTGCATCACCCCCTGGGTGCTCCTCTACATATGAGGTAACATCAAAGACCTGCAGTTTGCATGAACAAGGGGCAAACAGAATGAGAAATGAACAACAGAAAAGGGATTAGATTAACACAAAAGAATCAAAACAAAACACTGAGAAAAACCTTATCCTTGATGATAATCCAACAATCAGTTCTCTTATTATGTAAAGCGACTTCTGCTTTATTGTAGGATTTGGATACCTAAACGAAAAGAAAAATAATTATAAAAGAGCTGAAGTCAGTTAGCATGTGTTATGGGTAAATGCAGCTATGCTTGTGCAAAATATGTTCAATACATCGCTCAGATGTTAGACCATACATTGACCAATTTAGATATAAACCTTTCCCTAATTAGATATCTAATGTCAAGATGAGTTTATTTTATATAACCAGCAATTTAATGCCAACAGGCATGAACAAACGGGGAAACAAATCCCTGATCTACTATTTGGTTTCTGAGAATATATTTTTTCATAAACAGGCCTGAAATTTGAGATCTCACAACTCACAAAACAAACACTAAAAAATCCACTTTCAAGAAGATCTCAGTGCAAACCATAAGATTCTACAACAGAATACATGAGCAACCATAAAACAAAGAAAAAACGATATGACATATGACTATGAAAATCTAACATAGTGAAACTCTAAACAAGTTAACTAAGTTATGAGATGCTGAAGTTACAAGTATCAAACAAGTACCTTTCGATGGTTAGGTACCTGTTTTACTTGACCTGCATAGAGCAATCTTTCACTCAATCAAACATAACTCAAATGTTCCAAAGGGAGAAAAAATAAAAAGAAAAATAACATGGAAGGTTACCGGATTTACGGCCTCTGGCTATCAAAACAAAAAATCCCAACAAGACGCCCAAAACCAATGCCACCACAGCTATCCCCATATCTTGAAATTCAACTTTTTTATTCCTGTTGGAACAGATTTAGCCAGCAAAAAGCAGAAATTTAAGTTTGGTAATGGTTTGGTTGGCATTTTGGAAGTGCTAAGACATGCATCCATTTAACCAAAAGGGCTCGGAATGCAGTTCCAAAGAGCCAAGCTAACAGTTCATTGGATGCTTAGAAGTCTGTTGTAACAAATGGGTTGTATTAGCAGCTGCAGTAGGAGTGTGAAGAGGATATGCGCAGAGAATGAAATGAAGGAGGAAAGCGAAGTTATGTTAACACAAGAAATGGGTTTGAAAGATAAATCTCGGTACCTGGTTTGGCCGACGATCGTGACTCGAGACGAGAGATTGGAGATGTAGTTGTAGATGAAAGCACGCTGCAGCACTTCTGTGTTGCTGGCTGCTGGGCTGCCGCTGCTCCTGCTCCTCCTGGGTCATGACAATTTTTTTTTTCCCCTTTTTGCTACGGGTGCGGGTACTGCTGAAAGCGGGTCGGATTCAACACTTTGGTTGAGTGTTCGAGGGTGCGTTTGAGATTTTCTTTAAGTGCTGTAATTGTAATTGTGATTGTATTGTATTATATTTATAATTGAAAGTTATTTTAGTATTTAGTTATTTATTTTTTAAAAGTATTATAAATGAAATATGATAAAATTTATTAATTATTAATTAAA